ATCAAAACTACTATCTATCTATCTATCTATCTATCTATCTATCTATCTATCTATCTATCTATCTCAGTTTGGAGTACAGTGTTGGAAATTGCTGTTCAGGCAGGAGCAGGGCCCTCCTTGAGAAAGGGTTACTTCTAGCGGGCGGTGCCTAAAGCAACTTTCTTGGGGGAACAAATAAAAATCAGACTATCTTTCTGGTTGCAGAAAATGGCTTTCTCCAGATAGGTCTTGTGGGGATCCAGTAGCCTTGCAGCATGGAGAAGTGCGGAACTCCAAAGAAGGAAGAATGCACCAAGAATTGCCAAAGAAAAAAGAAAGAAAGGGAAACCATTGGCTTTCCAAATCTCAGCTGAATCTGGATATACCACTCTGCCACAGTGACTTGTTCCTCTATTCTTTTTTCTTAGGGTATTTAGCGATTCAAAGCCCCTCCTCTTGTTTTAAAATCACCATTGCCTAAATCTTGTTGTATTGGGTGCTGTTTATGTAGAGTGGAGGAAAATAAATCTTTTAGCCATTGTTGACTGCAATTCTTGACAAGTTGGTACATGATTCTTTTCAAAAAGAAAAACAAAACAAAACACCCCTAAAAATGAAATCTTAACTAGTTGTTGAAAATGACTATTTTTATGTGGACATACAGTATGGAAAATACTTTCTTCTAAGGAAGATGTTAAAGCTTGAAATGGAAGCAAAATAAATCAATATTTTCAGGGCCCTACATTCCAGAAAAGCAAACAAGTGAAATCTGCTGTAGTAAATGTTTTTGCCTCTTGTTGTAAACCCATTAATGCTTCCCCTCTCTGTGTGAAGTTGTATGAAATAAACATTTATGGGTCATATTGTGGAATTGGTTTATGAAGTGGGCTGTAGAAGGCAAGTGGCCATCCTGGCAGGTTCCTGCCCACTTGGGTTTTGCTCCCAAATCAGTAACACAAATAGATTCAGTTTCAATGTTTAAAATGCAGATGTGTCACCTTGAAGGACTATATAGTCTCTGCTTCCAAAATGGCTGCTGCCTTCAAAGAAAGGACACAAAGGGCGGTGTTGCTTTTGATGCCAATTTTTAGACTTGCCCAGAAGAGGTGATTTAACTATAGAATGCTATAGAAAAATAACACTTTATACTTACCAAAAGAACAGCAATGAATAGGACTTTCCTCAATCAAAGCATCGTAGTTTAATTTTGAACTTTGCCTAAAAGTGAGGCACCCACTTTGTTCAACTTGGAAAAACCTTCAGTTAAGGTGCTGCCCATTTTATGAAATCTCCAAAATCCAACACAGGCACGCTTGCCCCCCATTGATTCTATCAACTTTGAAACGATCCTCCTTGCATGGATATATTCACCTGGAAGTAAGTTCCACCCAACCTTTCAGGACTTAACTTCTGAGGAAGCTGTACTTGTACAAAGCCTGTATTGCAACATTCAGCCAAGTCTTGCTGTTCTTCAGCAACAAATATTTCAGCTCTACTTTATTATTATTATTATTTTTAGATTTAGTATAGACACCGCTCCAGTGGACTCTGGATGGCTTACAAAATGTAATACTAAATTAGAACAATTGAAAATATTTACTACACACTGTCCATTGTTTAATATGTATACTTAGAACAAATACACTTTCTCCTTTGCCAGGTTTTTGAGCTGCTTCCCTAGACTTAATCTGTATAAGTTAAGGGCAGAATGACCAGCAAGGCGTTTTGCCGCATTTATGCAAATTCCTGCACCAAATCGTCTGCTTTGCAGTTTTTGCCGCAGACCCTTCACGTGGATGAGCTCCCAGCCTGCTACTGTAATGCTGAAAATACAGGGTGGGGGGTGTATGTTTCAGAGAGGGAGGGGCCCCTTTGGATCCAAGAAAGAAACTAGCTACGCTAATGGTTCAGCAGATAGTCCATAGAGCAAAGAACTCTATGTGTGCAACATTCATCCAAGCCCAAACTAGTTTTCTTAAAAGAAAAGATTTATACGGTGGGAGGAGGGGAAGCTTCTATACACAAGTTATGAAAAAACAGCTCTGAGGTGGCAGAAATATACAGGGCAATGACCCTCAGTTTCTAAGTTTTCAAAAAGCTCTGAAGAAGTGTAGTTTATCAAGAAGTGTAGTTTATCGCAAAGGGCAGTGTTGCTAGAGACTATTCTCCGCTTGCCTTTTAGCACTTTGGGGTACTTTTGATCTTTGGGGGAGGGAGGAAGGAAGGAAAGAGAAGAAGAGAAAGAAGGCTGACATTTTAAAAAATATCTTGGTTAGCAGTGCAATAAGAACAAGGTTCCTATAGCTAGTGTGTTGTTGGTTTCAAAAAGATGTAAACCTGATTCACTGTATGGAATGCTGCTTTCTATGTACTGGTCAGTTGTAAACGTATCCCTTTCAGCTACTGATTTCTACATACCATGGATGGCACCCATATTCCCCACTGCCAGCTGAGGTTGATAGGTGCAGGAATTCTGAAGACGGGGCTGTAAATTGCTGGAGGAAGCACTATTCTAAACAATTATCTTGGAGCTGTGAAATGAAAGCCGTTCAGATGGCAGCTTTCTGAACCACAATCAACCAGGGGCTTCTTGATGGAGAAAGCTCTTTGTTTAGCTTAGCTGCATCTTCAAGGCAGAAGAGCATCCTGTTTAAAATTGTCAAGAGAATATTAATGGTTTCTTTGTTGGGCAATGTGGAAAAAAAAACAATTCCTCATTAAAGGCTATAAATGCGAGTTTGGACTACATCATACAATTTCATTGAAATAAATGGAGCTTATAGGATAATAATTGCCATAGATACAGAAAAGTGCCATTTTATCTTTTTTTTTTTTTCTTGCATTGTGGGATAGGTGGATCTCCCCATGGGTGAGTGAGGAGAATTATACTAGAGAAAATAATGTAAAATAAAACAGTTGTGTACAAGCTTACAAACCAGAAAAAAACAGGGTAACAGGCCAATCCCTCTCAGTAATTCCATTGTAAATTATACATTTTTGGGGTGGGGGTTATTTGTAAAAATAATAAAGGCAGGATACAAATAAATAAAAGTAAATATGCAATAAATGCACACAAGCAAACTCATTCCGTTTTCTAAATAGAGAAGGAAGCGGAAATGAATTTACCAGGGAGAAGTTCAGCCAAACTCTGGAGGAATCTATGAACCTTCTACCTAATATCTACAAACATGACACACACACTGGCCACATGCTCCAGCATAAAGGTGAAGGTGCTTAAACAGGCTTTTCTTTTTCCATGAGATCTGGGGCTGCTATAGACCTGTGAGCTTAATTGTTACTAACTGCAGTTTGCACCTAATTTATGGCAACAGCATGGTAGTTAAGAACCTGAGCTGCAGAATCTTGTTGCCATCTTCAACGCAAATCACATTCAAATCTTGGCCCAGTTATTCCAGAATTTTAAAGATGGTTTTTAGGTAAGCTAGTCTCTTCTTTTCACCCTGCAATACAAGGATCCCACTATATTGGTCTCTCTGCTGCAAGGCTTTCAGAGAGAAGTTATGTAGGAATGTCCTTGCTGTTTCTTAGGACCGCCTCCTCGAGGTTCCTTTGTGTCTGATTCCGCAACCAGGCTTCTGACCATCTTCATATCTTCCTAGATATAGACCAGCATGCTTGGACTGCTATTTACAGGAAGAAAAGAAAGAAGACACTGCACCAATCGATCCAAATGAAAGCACCGCTCCCAAAAGGAAGATAATCCCAGCAGATCGCGCCTAGTAGCCGGAATGACTGAGAGGAGCAATTTTGTTCATTTTTTAAATAGGGGATAACTGATTTTGGAAATACCCAGATTAAAGATAATCCCACCAGATCTCCTAGTTAGTCAGAATGACTACGGAAAGGCAAGTGTTTATAAATAGGGAATAACTGATTTTTTGAATTGAGTTATTTATGAAAATTGAATAAGAATCACGTTTCCAACCAAACTTCTATTTCACCCTACATGGTAAAAAGACCCACCATATTTACATGCAAGTTTGATAGATTGTATGTGGATAGCACACTGGATATGTAACTAGAAGGCCTTCTCCAGATACCAAAATCCAGCATTGTCTTCAAGAAAATCCCTAAGAACTTTGGGGGTGGTGAATATGTGAGCACAAACACAAACTACCCAACCTCATTCTGGTCAAGCGTATTATCAGTAAAAACAGCCCATGTATGGCTCAGCGAGTCATGCATATGCAGAAGAACATTGTGTGCAATTAGTAAGCCATGACTACATCAACTAACCTTGAATAAGCCTGCGCTTAATGTTACACGGCGAGAAAGAGAAAGAAGCATGCATTTAAATGTACATACCCTTCTCAACAATATGTGAGAATACACAACATTCATTCTCAACCATGTATATGAGAATATAATATACAATAATCATTCTCAACAGCGGACTCGTACAGGAGCAACATTAGGTGCGGAGAACGGACTCTGCAGCCCACGTTTTTTTTTTTTTGAGAGAGAAGTCAGCCTTGGTTTGTTGGCCTTCGCTCTCTCCCAAATCAGAGGAAACCGGCGCTTGCTTTGAAACCCCATGAAAATCAGTCGGAAGTCGAGATCTTCGCACTCGCGTCCCCAGCAGGAATCTAGGGGGTTTTGCGGTCACAGTGGGACTCGGCGGCCTGCGGGACAGAAGCCCGGCGGCCTTAAATACTCGCTGCCTTCCACTCAACCCTAATCTAGCTGTTCTTTCCAGCGTGCACAGCGAAACGCGTTTACCTGAACCTGGACCGTATGAAACAAAACGGGCTTCGCCTTCCGCCCGAAACATGGACTTCGATATCCCGTCCCAGGCGCCGGGCTCACGGCTCAGGTTCTCGAGGCAGGCACCGCTTTCCCAGAGAGGAGGGCAACGAAGGCTGGAAGGGGATCCCGGAACAAAGCGCTTTCGAGGTCCCTTCGGAGAAACGGGGCCCAAATGCCTCCGTAGCTTACCCGCTTGCCTTGAGCTATTTTCTACGATAGACGGAAGATATGAAGGAAGAAGCCGGGTCATAAATAACACGTCGGATTTTTTTTTATTATTATTTTGATTATCGATACTAAGAAAAAATAATCAGTGTTTAATTAAAATATTTCCTTGCGTCCCTCATCGGCCCACAAATTATTTCCTTTCTTAATTAACTTAGTTGAGGAGAAAGAAAGGGGAACTGAAGAATTTGAAAGAAGTGCACTTAGCTGGTTTGATTCTGAAAGTATAATAAGAGAGGCTGGACTTTCCGTCCTTGGAGAAAAAAATGAAATCCCCAGTAAAAATCCGCAGGTAAAAAAACTGCTACCCTTTTTAGTATCAAAGGCCAAGGAGAAATAGGGAAGGAAGGAAGGAAGGAAGGAAGGAAGGAAGGAAGGAAGGAAGGAAGGAAGGAAGGAAGGACAATAAAAAATGTAGAAAGTGCAGCACTAATCATATGGGAATCCAGCTAAGAAGGCGCAGTAACAAAAGTCTAACTCTCATCTAGCCCACAGAAGGTAGTTTCAAAGACAACAAAAGGTGCCTTGAGAGAAGTCCCAATCATGGTGGACATGGCAGAGACCAAGGCAAGCACCTGGCCCCTCTATCCCGTTGATGCCCCCAAAGTCTTTGGCCAAGGTTCCCAGCAGGAGGAGGAGGAGGAGGAAGAGTTTAATTTGCCAGGGCCGAGGCTTGTCCTTCCAGGTCTCTGTCGGCTTCCTTTTTGACCTCTCCTTCCTTCCCCTCTTGCTGAGTGGCAGGGAACTTGTCCTTGTTGTTCTCTTTTTTCCATTTCATCCTCCGGTTCTGGAACCAGATCTTGACCTGCCGTTCAGTCAGTCCTAGCGCATGGGAGACCTCGATCCTCCTCTTCCTGGTCAAGTAGGGGTTAAACAGGAACTCCTTTTCCAGCTCCAGAGTCTGGAAACGGCTGTATGTTTGCCTCCCTCTCCGCCTCCCAGGAGCTGCTGTTGGAAACAAAAACCACAGTTTCTTTACAAAAGGAAAGGAAGAAAAAACAAACCAGGAAACAAAACAACCAAAAACAGTGGCTTGGCTCTCAGCAGCAGCAGCAGCAGCAGCAGTAGCAGCAGCGCTTTTAGTTTTCCTGCCCCAGAAAGAAAAGTATGTTGAACAAATTATTTTCCAGTGCACAAAGCATGAGTTCTGGCTATTTGTTCAAATTTCTTCCTCAATTAGAACTAACAAAGTGCTATAAACTTGCTATAAATCCAAGTACCTGAGCGTACCAAAAATGATCCAAACGCAGTAACACTCAAGCATAAAATCTGAAATATTATCTGGTTTCTTTCAAAATATTGTTTAATACCACAATTCAAATCATTTGTGTTTTGGGCATTTTAAGAAATTCTTAAATTGTCAAACAATTGTACTGTGTGTGTTGTTAACAAGGAATTATCACTATAACAACAGTATATTGTAACTGTAAAAGGAGAAGAAATAAAGAAAGGGGGGGGGATCGATGGAAAAAGTGGCAGCTTAGTCTTAAGAGGGGAAGAAAAGAAAAAATGAGAAAAAAAGTAATAGAAAGAAAGAAGAGAGAGAGGGAAAGGAAAGGAAAGGAAAGGAAAGGAAAGGAAAAGGAAAAGGAAAAGGAAAAGGAAAAGGAAAGGTAGAAAGAAGTTAGTTTACCGCAGCCGAGAAAGGGAAAGGGAAGAATTGGGTCCAACCTTGTGGTCTCATCCAGGGAAACACAGGAGAAGGAGACGCGCTCTGATTTAAGGGCCTTGGTTCCTCGCCAATATTAGCACAGGACGATTTACAATCGGGATACTGAAGCAGCTCGGCCTCTTGGTGTGTCGTAAAAATCGTCGGTCGCTGTAAGTTATCGTATCCGTAAAACTTGGTCGGCTCCGCTGAACAAGGCAGGCCGGAGCAGGGGGCTTGCAAAGGAGGAGGCGGGGGAGGCGGGGGAGGCTGGTAAGGCGAGGGGCTCCCCCCGGCCAGGTGCTGGTGCTGCTGCTGCTGCGAGTGGGGAGGAGGAAGAGGAGCATGAGGAGAAGGGTGGAAGTAGTCTGCGCCGCTAACGGCCGGGCCGGGCCCAGGAGCCGATGGCGCAGGGGGGTAGCCTGAGGCGGCGGCCGCGGCTGCAGCGGCGGCGGCGGCGGCCGCGGCAGCTGCAGCGCTGTTCCCGTAGAGCAGGGCGGCGGCGGCGGCGGCGGGCGCAAAGTGACAGTCGTAGTAAGAGGGATTGATGGGCGGCTCGCCCCCTCCTGCCGCCGCCGCCGCCGCCGCCGCCTTGTACTTGGAGTACAGCGGATTGACAAAGTAGGAGCTCATCGGAGGGCGGGGGGCGAGCGGAGGCGCCGCAACAGCAGCAGCAGCAGCAGCAGCAAGTCAAGGAGAGCAGCAGCAGCAGCAGCAGCGCCCGCCGCCGCCGCCGCCACCCGAGGCCTGCGCAGCCGCCACCCGGATAACCCAGCTGCTCGGCCAGGCTGCTCCGGCGGCTGCTTTTGCGGACGAGCTGGCGGCGTGGAGCAGAGCCGGGCCGTAATCGCTGGCCGACTGACCTGCCTCACTGCTTTTTACTATTTCCTATTAGGCACACACCAACCAGCCGTCCCGCCGCCACACACTCACTCACTCACAGGGGCCAGAGTTCAGGGCAAGGCAGGAGAGCGGGTTGGCTTGGCGCGCTCAACCTCCGGAGGCCAAAACCAAGTCCCAAACTAAGTTTGGAGGGGGGAGAGAGGGGGGGGGGAACCGGAATCCGAGCCTTCCTAAAGCAGCCCCCTCGATGCCCCTGGCAAGCAGCCTCTACTCTCTGCCCACCCCACTCCGCCCCTTGGTAAGCGCCGGGTTCTCCGCTGCCGAGGCCTGGGCGCAAAAAAAGCGCGAGCGGAGAGCGATCAAGGGCAGATAAAGCAGAGAGCGCTCGAGGGGCTGGAGGGGAAGGCAGAGCGAGGGCCACGCCGAGGATCTCCGGCGGGGGAGGAGGAGGAGGAGGAAAAGAAGCGGTCGCGTGGAGAAGGCCCTTAGGACTTCTGGGGAGACAACCTTTGCGACTGGCTACGGCAGGGTCGCTCGTGGGGTGCTGCCGTCGTGATCTAGAACGAAGTCATTTGTTCAGGAAGCCGTGCCTCTGAACATGTGCAAAGTGGTGAACAGCCTGGATAAGGGAAGAGGGGCTTCTGCTTCCGGATCGAACAGCCTTGCCCAGCTTCCAAAATAAAACAAAAACAAAGCGTCACCGGTTAGGAGAGGCGGATGCAATTCCCTGGCCCGTCGCTCTTGTCGAAGCGCGGTCCCTGAAGGCACGAGAACACCAAAAGGGACGACTGGGGGCCGACGGAGAGGGCCCGACGGTGGGACTCGCCATATCCCGCCACCGGTGTCTTTGTAGTCACGTTAGTCGCCCTTTGAATGTATTGCTCGGTTGGGCCCGGCTCTCACGGCCGGGTGGGAGGTTTGCGATGGGCTGCTAAGATCGCGTGGGTCGGAGGGAGGAAAGCGCAAGAAAATCGAAGCCGGCCGAGCGGGGGAGGAGAAGAGGAGAGTGAGGACGGCGGGTGCAGCGGGGAAGGCCGCGGGCAAATGAGATGCCCATTTCCCCTTGACGCAGTGCTGCAGCTCCCGGGGTCATTGGCCCTTAATGGCAATCATGCCCATGAATACGCTTTCCACAATTTCCCCATCATTAGCCCTGCCAAGCAAGCGCGGGGCAGGGGGATGGGGCAGAGGTTGCCCCAGGAGAGGCGGCACAAAGTCGAGGAACAATCTGCACGGCCTGTACCTCTCTCTCAAGAGCTTCCTTTCGAAAGCAGAGCTGGGGACTTAAAAGAGCTCCACCGTCTTGTAAGGCCCTGCCATGTATGTCTTCTTTGGGGTGGGGGTGAAGTGAGGGAGGATCTGAGTCCTGTGAACACATAAATACCCGTTTCTCTTGATTAGCCGTTGTCATAGGCCCTGCTTTCAAATAAATGTCTCTTTTTAAGCTATATAATGCTGTCTGTGTTTTGATTCTGAACTCTCATAGAGCAAGGATATTGAATGCCAGACAATTGGCAACATACCAGAGCAGATTTTGGATTGTCTTGCAGCCTTTTTCCCCATCCTCACACACAGAGAAGGCCTTATTTGTCTTCCACTCGCCCTATATATTTCCAGGAATGAAAAAAAAAAAATCAAGCGAGGTTCTGGTCACTTCATGGACACATTTGAGCAGGTTTTTTTAGCAGGAGACAGGAGTGGTTTGCCATTTGACTTCTTCTGTGACTCTGGGCCCACCCCTGCTGGGCCTCTGCTTGAGATTTCCTGATGGTGTTCCTTCCAGGTTGTGCCCCTGCTTAATGTGGGCTCATCCAAGTGCTGCCATCTGCTGAGACCTTTCACTGAATGCTATAGTTGCTGCATTTGAAAGCAGAGTGGAAGAACAAAAGATTATAAAACTTGACACCAGATTTTGCTTCCAGACCACCCCCTCTCTAATGACTTATTGCCTATCATGCTTTTTTCTTACCAATATAAATTTGCTGCTTTAATATTAATATGTAAGACACTGTAAGTTGCCTCTGGGACTGAGGCAGTGTGCAAGTTTAATTAATAAAAGGTCCCTAAGTGCAGCTTGAAGCCCCTTGGGTGGCAAATCTGCAAGCTTTGTTTTGTTTCCATGAAATCAATATTAACCTCTTGATAAAATAAAATAAAATACACATTTCTATAGGTCTCACTTAATTTCCTAACTTATGCTTTAAATACAAAAGAATGGCCTGAAAAATCATATTTTTCATTTGCACTTATACAATCTTTAACAATTAAGTTTCACTGATAAATTATAAGTACTTTGGAAGTGCTGAATTGCTTCTTTTACTTCATAATTAATTAAAGCGTACTAAAGAACAGTCATGTTCACTTATGCTTATGAAAAAAACAACATCCATGTATTTTTTTCTTTTTTCTTTTCCAAATTAACTATACATATTTTTAAACAATTATTCTCTTGGACAAAGCTGGGAAATTATATGAGAATAGAGCGATATCACCCTCTAGTGGCAAAAAAAAATCTAAACTGGCTCTCCAAAAATTCCATCTTTATCAGTTTCTTTCAACAAAGATCTGGAAGTTAATTCTATTGTCTTTTAATCTCCATTAAGAAGAAAAAAAATCTGGTATGCTAGTTTTCCTTGTATGAATATTGACCTAATCCAAAATTTAAAGCAAAGTATGTGTTTGTTACAAAATTACTAGTGAACTTTATAATTAGAACTATAAGAGTTTTACTTTATATGCCTTATTTGATATCTTTAAAGATTGCAAAATAGTTACAGTGAATTTCAGTGTTGTCCTCTATTAGCATGCACATAAGATATTTCACTACTAAGTCTTTTTCTTAACCAAATGCCTTATTTAAGAGGAAAATATAAAAATAATTTAAAGAACTATAAAGTCTGAACTAATTTGATGCAGTGTAAACTTTTCACATTTGTTTTTATTTTCATATTATACACTTTCCCTTTTGAATGTGCTTTTTCACTTATTTTCAGTTTTAAAACCCTGACTGCAACCTTCATTTTCCTGCCTATGCATGATGTTACAGTAATAATTCTTCCCTTCCACATCGTGCTAAAAATGGACTCTCAAGCACAAGTATGAACAGGCAGCTTGGAAGGGATTTAAGATGCCGATATTTCCAGCCAAAATCCACCAGACTAGCTAGTGACAGTTTGAAATCAACACACATGGACTTGGATTAACCCTGGGAAGTTTAGATTCAGTTCAGCTCAATTCCAAAGGCTGAAATGAGCTTTTTCTTGCTCTAAATTGCTATGTCTGGTAAGTTTGAGAGGGTTCTAATTTTGTCACGTCTGCTAGCCTGCTCTTAGCCCCCTCCCAATCAATTCAAAAACAATTTCTGTTTTTCTAAACTGGTTCTCCAACCGGCAATCCCAACCCAAGAATTGTCCCAACTTTTCCGATGTTGGCGTCTAACAGTTGATATTTATGGTCCAACTTTTTAAGACCTCATTTTGTTAGCATTTGTGTTTCACCCTTTCCAAAATACCCCACAAACATCAAAATAATGGTTGTCTCAAAATACCATCCCTTATCGTAAACTCATTAGGTCCAGACGTCTGCTCTTTTCAATGGTTTTATTATACCTTGGCTCTTCCTGTTTTCAAAAAGAATGATAGGCAGAGAGCTGGTGATGAATAGAGCACCAATCCAGCACCTTTTTCTTGGGCCTTTATCCTTCGGGCTGCAGGGTGGGGAGCAGAGAAAAGGGAAGTGTGATACCATCTCCAGATCTAAGAAGGCTCAAAGTTCTTGAGGCAGTTTCTCTGTGTTTAAATAATTGTTCAGATACCTTACAAGGCTGCATTTATTTCTAGAGTCTTAAATTCGGCATGGAGCAATACTTCCCTCTTTCCAAAAAATATTTATGCCCCTCTGTTTTCTCTCTCTCTGTGTCCCGTTCATCCATCCATCCATCCATTTATCCATCCATCCCTGGTTATTAAATCTCATTTCCTGAAGTCAATAGAACTTCACAGTCTTGTTAGAGGATTTTAGATTTTTAAAAAAGCCACAGGCATGTAAACAGTCACAAAAAGTCACCTGGGTAAATATTTGATTGATGTAAGGCCAGGGTTAAATAGGCATTAAGTATTATTGGCACAACTGGCCAGGTAAAAGGGAGAGTTATCATTTTCTGACATGTTTATTTTTTTAAAAAAAGAAAAATATTCCAGGAGATCCATTTGGAGGTACAGAATAACATAATTATAACTGGTTTCTGCTTTTATTGTTTAATCTCAAGTAAAAATTTGTTGCTCTCACCATTCTCCCACCCCATAAAAAGAAATAGGTCCAGAAACCTTTGTACTGTTTTTTTTTTTTTAATTTTCTGAACAAGCAATGTGTTTGTAGGATGCCAGCAAGAAAAATACTGTTGTATCCTAGATTGGTAGTCTGTTGAGAGTGGAAGAAGATCCTTCAGTCACTGAGAAGACTTCTGAAGAATGGAGTTGGTCTTTCTATGTTGCCAGTCACTGTATTTAGGTTAAAGATGATCTGGTAGAAACGGCAGAGGTGTGTGTAGGGGTTGTGCAGACAATTTTGGGGGTATAGAGAGGCAAGTTGTAGGCTTGGGCCTTATGGCACCTATGTCACATTTAGATAATCTGTCCTCCCATTTGCTTTCCTCTGCAAAAGCTAAAGGTTTTATTTTCATGAGGCTAAATTTTATTCCAGAATCTAGGACATATACAAGCAAGTAAGCAAGAAAACAAAAAACAAGGAACAATAAGCAAATAATAATAGAAGAGAAAGGATTGTAGAAT